GAGGCGGGACACCTGAGGGACATTGCGGGCCACCGGACGCCGGTCCGTAATCATTTGGTCCGGCCGCGTCTCAGCTACAGAAGACTTTCTTCTCGCCCGCCCACGCAGCTTCGCCTCGCCCGCACGCACGGCACGCACGAACAGGAAACGGAAATTGATTTCCCGGTATCGGGGCTCTCCGTTCCATTTCGATCTCACCCCCTCACCTCCGACACAATACACCTTACACTGCATACATCACATGGACTAGCTTTTACCACATAGCTCACACCGCACTGCTTACACCACATAGCTCTCAACATCTACTCGTACATTTTTGAACACGCCACAGCATACACAATTCAGCTTGCGCCGCATTGCTCTCACCGCAAAGCTTACACAGCCCAGCTTACACCACATAGTTTACACCACATCGTTTACATCATATCGCCTACGCCACATAGCTCAAGCCGCAAAGTTTACACACCATAGCTTACACCACATGCACTGCACAGCATAGCTTCTGCCTCCTCAATGCAAGCCAGTGCTCCCGCTGCAACGTTGGCCTCATTTCAGGAGCGGCGCTTTGCTCCTGGCGTTCTGAATGGCACTCTCACCCCAGCGCGGGCCACATTTCTGAATCTGAGTGCGTCCTCCTCGTTGTCGCCCTTCCTTTCCCCTCATTCGCCTTGCCGTGGTCCTCATGCTCCTTTCGCTCCTCTTGCTCCCATTGCTGCGGTTCCTCCTCGTCCTCCTTCAGCATCCTCGTCCTCTCCCTCCTGCTCATCCTCCTTCTCATCGACCACATCCTCCTCCTCCGCCTCCACTGCCTCATCCAACTATTCCTCCACCTCCCTCCTCCCCCTCCCCCTCCCCCTCCCCCTCTCCCTTTCATGATGCGCGTTTGACATCTAGGTCCTCTTGGGCGGTCACGGTCTGCCTGACACCCGTCAGTTAGGAAAAATCAGCGCAATGGGAAGGGATGGGTGGGAATAGTAGGAGGTCAGACATGGCGCGAGCTCACCTAGCTTGCCCTCCTCCCTCCTCCCTCCTCTCTCCCCCTTTCCCGCCCTCTACAGTTACACAATAATAATGCTACTCTCCTCTCTCCCCTGGTGACGTCTGGGGAATGGCCGGCCCCCTTCGCGTACGTTTTTTTTCACAGGATTCTTGGGGAACGAGTTTTCGCTGGGCTCTTGTCAAAATGCTGCTCTCGCTGAGGCGCTGGCATCATTTTCGGGCCACCGCTCGTTTCGAATCGAGCTCCCGCTGCAGCGCTGGCCTCATTTCCGCGCTTCCGTTCGTTCTCCCGCTGCAGCGCCGGCGTAATTATTTCAAGCGCCATGCCACGGCATGTTTTTCGGTTGTTCCACATGGGCCCCAACATCTAGAAAATGGCCCCCGAAAAACCATCGGAAGTGATTACGCATTCGGTGTCGATTTGGGGCGTCGCCACGCCGTGCTGTATCATGCTACGCGTTGATCTTCAACACCACGCTGTGCCATGTAATGCTATGCCATGCTACGACATCCGATCGTGCGAATAACTAAGAGATCTACGCCATGGTAAGGGATGGGAAGGAGGGGTAGAACGGCAGATATGACGCGAGCGCACCTAGCTTGCCTTCCCCCCCTCCCTCCCTCCTCTCTCCCTCCCTCCTGCGTCCTCCTCCCTCCTCCCTCGCCTCTCGCCGATCTTTTTTTTTGGGGGGGTGGGCTGCGAGGCGCCAGAGGTCTCGACCCCTTCCCCAGGGACAGTTTTGTGTTCCAGATCCCCAGGGCACCCGTGGGGGCGCGAAGATGATCGCTCTTCGCGGCTGCCCTCCTCCAAGGAGGGCGGCACGAGGGCGCGGAGATCATCGCGCGTCGCGCATCGCGGGGCGAGATCACTTTTTTGATGGCCCCTGGGGTCCAACAACGGCTCCCAGAGGTTGAGATATGGAAAAAACGCAGGTTGAAAAAGTCGCATCGTCGGAGATCTGGGTCCGCTTTCCCCACGTTCCCGAGAACGCGCGCCGCAACTGGGAGACGGACACGCTCCGGTCCTTTGCGGAGGCTGCCTCGTGGCTCTCCATCTCCGCGCAGCTGCACGAGCACTACGGCGACGTCTGGGCGCTTTGGGGCCGCTTCCTCCTTCAGAGTTCGGCGGCGCGTCGAGGAGAGAAGTGAGGGTCAATTTCGATCCGATGGATCCGATTCGATGTCGATTCCGGAAAGCTGGATCGGGGACTCGAATCTGATCTTCCGGCCACCCGATGCGGCGCGATGCTTTCGTGGCGTTGTTGTGCATTCTGGCGCAGTCGATCCGATTCGACTTCGACTCCGTGCCGACGCCGCCCGATCCGACGCGCATTCCGATCCGATCCGATGCCAGGATTCGACGTCGATGACCGATCCTGGGGAAGTGAGATCGGCGTCCCCCCAACATATTAACATTGTGTGTGTGCGTCGCTTCCCCACCGAGAAATGTGTGTGGGGCGACGCGAGGACCGATAAATCTTTAGTACATGCGTCGTGGCGGGCGCTTTCTGGCCCCACCGCCCGGGAAGCGATATACTACAAGATGGGTATATTTTATGCTCTTTTCGGACGCGCGCCTCCAAGGAGGACTGATTGTATTAATATTTCTTTGTGCGTCCCCTCTTCCCTCTCCAAATTTGCGCTGGAGAAGACCTCCCTCCAGTCGGAGGCCTCGAGGTTGGCACCAGCACCGATATTGGCGCTGTGCCCCCACCGAGGGCAGAGGATCCCGACCTCGGTGATGGTTATAGTAGTCGGGCTTTCTAGGTGGCCAAAATATGTCCACCACCACAATCTAGATCACCTTCCCCGGGTCGCAACCTCGAACGTTGGTGTCAATACCCATTTCCTTCCAAGCCTCCGATCCAGGTTAGCGACGCAAAACAAGAGGGTCTTCACCGACAGGGGCGCGTAAGCTGCCCGCGTGAGGTCGCGCGTGAGCGACTTAGTTTCCAATGTGGCGTGTCACGCTGGCGGCCCGCAGAAGCCACCGCGTAAGGTCGCTATGTGATCGCGCGTCAGACCCCTTCTCATTGCTCAGGTGTCCGCCCCCCTTGGGGCCCTCTGCGGCTTCGCGGTGGTGATCGTCGGAGACCAGCTGAACATCTTGACCGCCAGGGCTTGCCGGTGCGGGCGCAGGGCCGGCGGCCAGCCAGGCCCCAGCGTTGCCGTTGCTGCTGCCTCCGCTCCCGCCGCCGCCGCGGTCGTCAAAAACCTTCGAGGTCTTCGGAGGTTGGAGTCGGCTGGGGGTCCGAGGTTGCCCAGCGCTGGTTCTGGCAAAGGGGGCCTATTTCGCCTTGTTAGGGCCTCCTGGTGCCTTCTCGTCGCTACGGCTGCGCGCGGCTCGAGAAGCTGGTGCGTTTGGATCCTAGGAGGGGTCTGGAGGCAGAGTCTGAGCGGATTTGGCCTCGTCCCCTCAGGGCACTAGGCAGGGCCAGGCTCAGGTACACCTCGCGAATTTTCCCAACCCTCCTGTGTTGTGTTCTCGTTTTGAATAGAGCAGTGTGGTCTCCACCCTCCTTATCCCCCCTCCTCGCTCCTGCCTTTGTGCTTTCCTGCCGTCTGGTTCCTGATTCCTGCCTCGCCGTCTTGTCTGTTGGGTGGCCTTGCCCAGGGGTTGTGATCACTGGGGGGGGGGTGGCTGCGATCTGTGCAATTGTCGGCACTTTCGTGGGCTCCTGGGAGGCCCAGCGGAGGTACGCCATACGCAGATCACCACTATAGCTCGCGGTGCCCTGGGTGGCTGCGATCTGCGAAACTGTCGGCACTTTCGTGGGCTCCTGCGAGGCCCAGCGGAGGTACGTCATACGCGGACCACCTCGAGACCTCGCCGCCCCCTGGGGGGCTTGCGATCTGCGAAACTGTGGGCACTTTCGTGGGCTCCTGGGAGGACCAGCGGAGGTACGTCATACGCGGACCACCTCGAGACTTCGCCGCCCCCTGGGGGGCTTGCGATCTGCGAAACTGTCGCCACTTTCGTGGGCTCCTGGGAGGCCCAGCGGAGGTACGTCATACGCGGACCACCTCGGGACCTCGCCGCCCCCTGGGGGGCTTGCGATCTGCGAAACTGTGGGCACTTTCGTGGGCTCCTGGGAGGCCCAGCGGAGGTACGTCATACGCGGACCACCTCGAGACTTCGCCGCCCCCTGGGGGGGGTTGCGATCTGCGAAACTGTGGGCATTTTCGTGGGCTCCTGGGAGGCCCAGCGGAGGTACGTCATACGCGGACCACCTCGGGACCTCGCCGCCCCCTGGGGGGCTTGCGATCTGCCAAACTGTCGCCACTTTCGTGGGCTCCTGGGAGGCCCAGCGGAGGTACGTCATACGCGGACCACCTCGGGACCTCGCCGCCCCCAGGGGGGCTTGCATTTAGCGGTCCTGAATGTGATCGCCACATGTGTAGAAAGGGTTGGGTACGTCGCAGGGTACTTTTTTTCACGACGCCCGCCAGGCGTCGGAGCCCTCGTGACAGGGGCGAAGGATGCAAACAAAAGCAATTCATACCCTCTCCTTGGACCTCGGTCCTCAAGTCTTCGAAACCTGCGCCTCCACGTCTTCCCCAGCTTCAGGACGCCCTGGCAATGGCGACGACGATCGCATCGTTGTCGTCGACGTCGACGTCGTCGTCGTCGTCACCTTCGTCATTGTGCCACATGCAACCACAGGGGTTGGATCCGCGGTCTTGCCGTCGACCAGTTGGGCCCCCTCACCTCGGCGTGTTGTCGCCGCCACCTCATCGGCCTAGTCATCGACATCGTCGTCTTCGCTACCTTAGTCCTCGTCGCCATCGACGTCGTCACGGTCGTCGTCGTCTTCGCTGCCTTCGTCATCGTCGCCATCGACGTCGTCGTCATCGTCGTCGTTGCTATCGTCATCGTCGTCCTCGTTAACCTCGTCCTCGAGGCATCCATATGGGGCCGGAGCAGATGGGGTCGGATGATCGCGCCGCATCGACCCCCCGCCGGAGGCCCGACGCAGCGCAAACGGCGGCGGCCACGGAAGCGGCGGCGGCGACGGCGCGCGGCATCGGCGGCCGCCGACGGCGGTGGCCCCGACAGCGGTTTCGAGGATCGAGCATTGAGAATCGAGCATCGAGGTTCGCGGATCGATGCTCGAGGAGCGAGGGTTGGAGCAGCTGGGGTCGGAGGATCGCGCCGCATCGGCGACGTATCGGCGATCCACTGGCGGCGGCGCCGTGGATAATTGCGGGCTCCGAATAGTTGCGCATCGCCGATGCATCGGCGACGCGGCACGACCCTCCGAGCTCATCTACTTTGGCCCCACTTAGAAGGCCTGGATCCTCATCGTCGTCACCTCGGGGGCCCCCAAACGGTGTAGCGACCGCCGCGTGGTGAGTCGCTGGGGATTCGGGGTCACCGCGCGGTTGTGGGACTCATGGCGGTTCTCCGAGGAAGTCTCGGGCGACAGGGGCCTCCGAGGTCACCAGACCGTGTGGTGACGGACCGCGCGGTGAGGTATCTTGGGATTTCGAGGTCACCGCGCGCTCGGTCACCGCGTGGTTTTGGGACCCCCAACCATCGTCATCATTATCGCAAGCGTCGCCACGCTCATCCTCGTCCCATCGTCGTCGTCGTGACCTCGTCGCCCTCGCATGTGCCAGGGCTGGGCGCTGCGGCGGCCCCCTTAGCGCGCAGGCGCCCGCCGTGGTTCGTTCCCCCGGGGAGGTCCCCCGGAGGGCTCTCGGAGGCCCCCCCCCCTGGACGTCAGTGTCATCGAGCCCCGATCCTGGAAGGCTGAGGATCAGGAGGGGAAAACACACACAGACACCATTAATCGTCGACTCCCAGGAAATAGGAAAATCTTGGAAGTTTGGGGGGAAGACGAAAACCCAGAAAATATATGAATATATCGGGAATACTGGCATTCGTGTCTATCTATTTGTGTGTCCCTGGGCTCCTTTAAAGGGCGAGTCGCGGATGGTAAGGCGAAGGAGCGGGAAGAGGAGAAGGAACAGGTGCGGATTCTGCTACCCTTCTCTCGTGCGGGCTTTTTTGATTGTTCTGGGCGGCCCTCGTCGCCACAGCTTGATCTGCCTGGAAACGTCTGGTCAGAATGCGTCCCGGCAGAGGTCTGGGGAGTGGAAGCCTCCCAGGATCGAAGAAGAAACACCGGCACAAACGCAAACTTTCGAAGGTCCGCACTGATTGCTCGGATCGGCGCCTGGGTCCCACTGGCGCGGTCTCGGACGAAGCTCCGAGAAATCCGTTCCAGAGCGTTCCGGAACGCTCTCGGAGCGTTCTGGAACGCTCTAGTAAGGCCGTGGCGCCCGAGACATCCTCAAAAGCCGCCGGATCTTACAGTGGAAACCCTTGCCAAGGGTGCCCTGGGTTTCTTGGGTTTCGATGGTTCTGCTATGGAAAGCGTGAGGCTCCCACACCAAATGCATATGGTTGGTTATCCTGGCGAAGGACCCAACCATCTGCAATTGTGAATAGCGCTTTGTGGGTGCCGCTTTCGGTGGGGCTCCTTATGGGGCCACGAAAGGCGTGCCACGAAACGCTGTCCTGGGCGTACGGGACGCATGAGGGCGGTAGCACTGGGGCCTTCGGTGGAGCTCCCTATGGGGCCACGAAACGTGTGAGGGGTGTGCCGAAATGGGTGCGGCGCCGCCATGCGAACGCAGCCACTGGGGCCTTCGGTGGAGCTCCCTATGGGGCCACGAAACGTGTGAGGGGTGTGCCGAAATGGGTGCGGCGCCGCCATGCCAACGCAGCCACTGGGGCCTTCGGTGGAGCTCCCTATGGGGCCACGAAACGTGTATGGGGTGTGTCGAAATGGGTGCGGCGCCGCCATGCCAACGCAGCCACTGGTCTTCGGTGGAGCTCCCTATGGGGCCACGAAACGTGTGAGGGGTGTGCCGAAACGGGTGCGGCGCCGCCATGCCAACGCAGCCACTGGGGCCTTCGGTGGAGCTCGATGGTTCTGCTATGGAAAGCGTGAGGCTCCCACACCAAAAAACAATGGACGTCCTTGGGTCTCAAGGTTGGGTTTCTTGTGGAAAGTTCCTTGTGGTCGAGCTGCTATTGTAGAGATTCTCGCGTCATCCTCGCCCGATCTTCTCCTCATCCTGGCCTCGTCTTGCGCTCCGCGCGCCTGGGAGGGCAAGGCTCCTAGCGCCGATCCGAAACAATCCGCGCGGCTCGGCGCGCGGCGGCGGCGGCCGCGGCGGCGGCGGCGGCGGTGCGCGACAGCGGCGGCCCCGACGGCGGCGGCCCCGACGGCGGGCTCGAGGCTCGAGGCTCCAGGATCCAGGATCCAGGGTCGAGGATCGAGCATCGAGCATCGAGCATCGAGGCTCGAGGATCCAGGATCGAGCCTCGAGCATCGAGCATCGAGCTTGGAGGATCGAGGGTCGAGAATCGGCCGCGGCGATCTCGCTGGGCGGCAGGCCGCCTCGACGCCCTCGACGCGCGGGAGCTGGCCGTTTTCGCGGTGGCCCTCGCGGCGGCAGTGGGCGTTCGCACGTCCGCGCCCGCGCTAG